GCTAAAAAATTTCTACATCTTATTAAGATAATCAACCATTGGTTAAAAAATTTCTGATCGATTAGTCAACTATATAGTTGGTTTTTTCAACTACCGATTTTGATCACTTTCTACAAATATTAATTTTTAATTTTTATACAGTATAAATATTAAGAGATTTATATTTTGGTGCACCACTATAGCAAGTTCTTAAGTTAAGTTAAGTTAAGTTAAGTTAAGATTAGCTAGTTAGGGTTAGGGTTAGGGCTAGGTAAAATTGCGTGAGGAGCATTTTTACTTAGTTACACGACAGGGGGTTACCCTAGTAAAATTTTGAGATATAGCAAAGTTATGATTAGTTAGGGTTAGGGCTAGGGTTTAGGTTAGAGTTAGATAAAATTGTATAATGATCATTTTTTGTTAGTCATACAACAGGGTTACCCTAGTAAAATTGAGATATAGCTAGGGGTGCACCATTTTTAAAAATCCAAATATTAATACCACCTAAATGTATCCTTTTAGAGCTGACTAAATATACATCGTTTAAATTCACACTAAAATGAAGATAATAATTTAAGAATTTTGTATTGATTTTAATAAAATTTAAATAGTAATACTTAAAAAATTTTAATTAACGTAACTCGTCGAATATTCGATATAATTGATACAAATGAAATTATTACACCACAAAAAAACATCAATTGTAGTTTAATAAATTTTCGTATCTAAATATACAATATATTTGATTTAATGAAAAAATGTTAAGATAAAGAATGAAGAATACTCTAATTTATGACAGGCATAGACCTAGGTCTGAATAATGGAATATTGGTTAATGCCATGTTTGGAAATTACTATGTTAAATATATGATACACTGCATTTAGACCAAAATTTATAAATGTTAATTTTGTTAAAACTACGCCTTATTCAAACAAGGCGTATTATATTTACAATTTATAAAAAAAGCTCTTATAATTGTGTCAGTCGCACAATAAAAAACACAACTCATAGTGTATTGCTCTTTAGCCCTAAACAATAAAATCAAAAACACCCACCAATCTTGTTTTATAATTACAAAGCACCAAAATGAATCATATGCGAAGCTTTCTTCCTTTCTAGTTCATCTTCCCTCTATAAAAGCAAGGTGATTAATTTTTTAAAGCAGCAGACTAAACTCAAAAACTTTCAAATAAAAGAACTAACCTTTTCCATCCAATTCAAAATTACCACAATGATCGCCATAACAATTGTAGATATTATTAACACTAATAATACCCATGGTATCCAGTCTCCCGGATGAATAAATAATTCCAACGACCAACTGTAATATAAAAATATTAATGTTTCTCGCAATGCTAAATATAAAAATGCATATAAGAAATTTAGACTTACGTAGAAGGATCAAAAACACTTGGAGGTTGATAAGGTACAATGATCAATTGAGAATTTGGAATCACACCGGAGAATGATGTATAATATAAAGTCTGTTATATATAATAAAAAATTTGT